AAGAAAGAGCACATGGATTGCTTCCTTGGCATCAATCATCGATGTCTAAATAATAAAATGGAATTTAGCAAAAGGTGATTTTTATGCTTTTTATAGTAATTATGTATTTTCTTTAGTTGTGTGTAATTTTGTATACCCATTGAAAGAATGAACAAGCTAAGTTTTTTAGCTATTTCTTCTACAGAAAGTTATAACCATAATTTTTTTAAATGTAAACTTCTTATATTTGAAAACTCTTAGGTTCTTCCTTAATTACTTATTACATTAGTCAATATTCTATCGTACAAATTTTATTGATGTTAACGAATCTATGACACCATTTCTGTCTTATTCCACGGTTAATCAATTCTCATGATATTCAATCATATGCCTTCTTAAAATCAGTAAAAATTCTGTCAATATTTTTTATTGATTGATTTATTTATTTATTTATTGTCTTACCATAAATATGCTTTTATAGTAGATCTTCATGGTTCTTCAAAGTTGCCCTAATTTTTCAAAGCATATATTCCATTACCCTCTCCATAGCTTCATTGCAAGCCTTATAAGTCTTGATTCCTCTATAATTAATACAATCTTGCATATATTCTTTGTTGTTAAATATCAATATCAAATGCTTCTTTTCTAATCTTTTTTCATCACTTTAATTATCAATTCTATCAAAAATATTTGTTATTCAAACCACTGCATTATCCCTCATAATTTTCTAAATCTCCTTACATGTCTCATTTTTTACCTAAGCCTCAATTTTATTCATCTTCTTTAAAGTTAGCTATATTTTTTTAATTGATCTATAATATAATTCATTTATTTTGTTCATTATGATTTGTTGCCAAAATTATTTCTTCCTAACAATTCTTATTTAATAAGGTTTCTAAGTAGCATTTATGTTATCTTCAATTCTAATACATTTAAATTGATCTTATTTAATTATGAACCTATTATCTTAATGTTATCATGCATCTAATGTGACCAAGATATCTATAAATCTCATCTCTTAGATGTTTTCGTTATCTACTTTTTCCTTCTTTAGTATCAATTCTATCTTATGACTCATTACAAAATCTATATACATACATATACATACATATATATATATACATACATATACATACATATATGATCATTTTTCTCCCATTAAAATTTTTATCTACTTTCCGATTTAAACCTAATGAATCCTTAATTTTCACCGCAACTAGATTAAATTGTTGTATGACATATGAAGTTAGTGTTCTAATATCCTCTCATGCACTTCTCACCACCATCCGATTACGTCAAGTTTGTGACTTTTGAGAAATGCTCTTACACTAACAAAATTCTGAGTTGAAATAATTTAACCAATTTTGATAAGTTATCATCAACCCTCAATTTTTTTCATTTTGTTTGACGTAATTGGTGTTTAACAAATAAAAAAGGTCACAAATAATAATATTATATATTATGAATATTTACTTACATTTAACACAATTCTTATGTATTTACATATCTAATACCCAAAGTTTGATATTTACAATTATAATATTTTGTTATTATAAACTTATGCATGAAAAGATATGTTTAACTTCTAAAAAGATAGTTGTCGTGGTATTTTTTATGTTTTGTTAGAGATTTGAGGGATACGCATGTAAATATGCATGTTTAGTTGTTAGATATGTAAATACGTAAGAATCATGTGGTATGTATATAAATGCCCCTACTTATTAATTGTATTATACTGCTAACCAAGATGAGTTTGAATATAACATCGTTATCTAACTCATGCCATACAAAAATAGTACCGCAATCTCGATAACTTTCATTTATTATGTCTATTTTCGCATCGTCATTTCATGTATTATTTCTGATGTTTCTGTCTTGATTTGTGTAGAGAACTGTAATTGTTCCTCCCGGACTTGGTTATGGTGAAAAGGGGATGAATGAAATACCGGTAAAAGACCATCACCACAAACTTTTCATTAATATCTATGTCATGATCAAACCATCGAGATTTTCATAAAAGCAGAAATTGTGGATTGAGGTTTTATTGTAAATTTTGATATTTAGGTATTAGTTTTGTTAATAGCCTAAATAACACTTATTTGTTCATTTTATTTTTACTTTTGAACTATTGAACTCATGTATTTATGTGTGGATGTGCGCCATAATCAAACTATGGGGATTTTGATGAAAACAAAAAAACCATATGGATTAAGGTTTTATTTTAATTTTTTATAGTATTGTAAATATCAATATATCATGATTGATGCTTGTAGTAAACAAAGCTAACACCCATATCTTTTTTCTTTTTTTTTTTTTTTGAACTTCTGAGCCCATGTATTTATCTATGTCATGATCAAACCATCGAGATTTTCATAAAAGCAGAAATTGTGGATTGAGGTTTTATTGTAAATTTTGATATTTAGGTATTAGTTTTGTTAATAGCCTAAATAACACTTATTTTTTCATTTTATTTTTACTTTTGAACTATTGAACTCATGTATTTATGTGTGGATGTGCGCCATAATCAAACTATGGGGATTTTGATGAAAACAAAAAAACCATATGGATTAAGGTTCTATTTTAATTTTTTATAGTTTTGTAAATATCATTATATCATGATTGATGCATGTAGTAATTGCCCTTGTTTGTCTTGCTGACAACATAGAGCTTATTTGAGAGTTGGCATTTCCTGATACCTCACTGGTCTCTCTTACAATGCAGCCTGGGGCGACATTTGAACTGAATATTGAGCTTTTAGAAGTGATGCAACCAATTTAGGAAGGACTAATTTTAAGTTTTTTTTTTATTGATTCATATTATATGTTTGCAGCTTTCCTTTCCCCTTAAAATGTATTTAATTATTTTTTGGTTTCTTTTGTAAAATAACGTTTTACTTTTGCAAATTGAGTTATGTAAAGTCTCATTTCCAAAAGTGTGTTTTATTGTTGCAGATTCTGCTGTGGATTGACCAATATTTATGGGTTATTTGTAAGGTATTTTCATACCAACCACACAATTCTGACATATTTACATATCGAACACCTAAACTTTCATATTTACATGAATACCACTCAAATTTTTAACACTGCATCAAAAGTTATCAGTTTATCGCTTTCATTATTTTTTTAAAAGTGAAATGCATCTTTTCATGCATATATTTGCAACATCACGGTGCTATAAATGTAAATATCAAACTTAAGGTGTTAGATATGTAAATACATAAGAATTGTGTGGCGTGTATGTGAGGTTACCTTAGGTTACCTTATTTTAATTAAAGGTTATGTATGTAATTTCCATTAAAAGAATAGTGCCGTCATTAGGTAATATATTTGAGGCATCAGCATTGTACAATATATTGTTGTTATCATTGTGAAATCTGTAATGGGGTTCGGAGTACTTTTATAAAAATGATTATTATGTTACAAGTACAGCTGATGGGATTGCTTTAGATTGGTGTAATAAAATATTAATAAATCAAATTTTATTTACATTTAATTTAAAATAAATTATATTATTATAAAGTGCATAATCCTATTTTTTTAATTATAATATCCAATAAACAAACAATTTTGCTATGTAGAAATATTAGAGCAATTATTTTGATCATATATGTTTTCGAACTATTTACTATATTAATTGGTTTACTCGGATCTATGTCATAGGCTTGAAATCTTTTGTTTTGAAGATGAATTTGACTACTAATATCACACAATTCCTATGAATTTACATATCTAAAATCTAACTTTACTTTTTACATTTATACCATTCAATTATCACTCCTTTATCCGTCTTAAAGTGACATATATAAAATTTAAGAGTTATGATATGTAAATACATAGGAATTGAGTTGTATGAATGTAAATCTTCGATTTTAATAATATATTGTGGCTTGAGAAAAGGTTTATCAAAGGTTTTGGGAGTCCTGAGTTTTAATTTGATATTTTCATTGGTGTGCATAAGTGAATATTTTATGTGAGAGAATCTTGAGTCTGAAATAAGTATGATTATGATTGATGAATAAACAGGTTATATCCATCGCTCGGACATGCGGACACAGGCGTGGATCACTCCACACCATTTTTTCGACGGTATAGTGCAAGCTATGATGTCGACCGCATGTCCGGTTTAGCGAACATAATATATTTTTCATAGCTAAAATACCAAAGAATATAATCAAAAGTAAATAATACATTTTTCTTGAACAATACAAATATAGAGATCTCACTAGAGTATGCTTAAAGCTTACCTAGTTTAGCTAAGTGGCTCTAAGAAAATCTAACCTCCCAATAAAATAAGTTAAAAGAAGTTTTGATTAGTATTCCACTAGGGTTCCACTGTTTAAAGAATCAACTGTGAAGTTATTGTTGAAGAAACTGTTCAAAAAGCTGTAATAGCTAATATATATATAAGTTTTTTTTCAAAAAGTCAAATCATAATTTTCTAACCACTAGATTTGTAAAACACAACTTTTTCTAAGAAAACATCCAAAACTTTATTTACTCAAACACCCTAATAGTGAGTGCGGTCCAAACTGCACCGCATCCACCACTGCCCCAAAAGCACCCTAATTATCTCCCTCCATGAGATGATGAAGCCAACATTTTTTTCTTCTTTTACTTCTAAGGCTGGCCTAAGAAACAAACCCTCTTCAATTTCACAAATAATGTCAGCCATATGTTTAGATAAACCATACAACATCCATCAAATACATAAATGACAACATCCTTCTTGAAATGATAAAAGCATCAAACACACACTTGCTCATGGAGAAGGCAAACAAAACACAATTTTCTCATGGTGCATAGAGTTAAAGCCTACTTATATACATATATACCAAATTTTATGTACTTACACATCTACTACCTAAATTTTAATATTTATATCAATGAAATATTTAATACCACAAAAAAAACAGTAAGAAATATAATGATTAAGGCACTAAATTGTTATAAAAGTAAAAATATAAAATTTTAAGGGTTAATTATGTAAATAAATAAGAATTATGTGAACTGTAAGCACATCCCTAAAAAAAAGAAAAAATTGTAAGATAGAATTGGGAGGGATAGATAAAATATGCCAAAACAAACAGAGCTAGCCTTTGGTGAACAAAAAATACAAAATGAATTTTCAAAAACTGGACCAACAATACAACCCAACTTATTCTCTATCTCTCTCTCAATTCCAAAATGACATTTTAGCAGCATCTTGTCCCACCATCATCCAATTGTTGTGTTTCTCTACTGAATGTCACCTTAGAAGCTGGAGACAGTTGATGAGAAGCTGTGGAGATGTTATATGGCATACTAAGATGATAACTTCAGGAATAGGGGCAATATCTAATTATTATTGCGGAATATTTACATATATAACAATCAAATCTTATGCATTTACATATCAAACACCGAAACCTCAATTTTTTACATATATGTCATGTTACCTATACTTAAAAAAAGCATATTTCACTTTTTAAAAGTTAAAATAATGAAATTTTTGATATGATATGAAAGATTTGAAGGATATAAATGTAAAAAAAATGTCTAAGTTAAGGCATTAGATATGTAGATATATAAGAATCAGGTGGGTATATATTTAGGGGTGGAACCAATATTATTTTTTAGGGTGGGCAAAATAACGAAATATCCATTTTTTTTTTAAGCATTGGGCAAAAAAATATATCTAAGAGGGGCAAAATTATTAAATTGCCTAAATTACATAAGAAAAGAATATTAAATTTTACTTAACAGAAGTCGTCTTAGATGGTTTGGTCACATTAAGATTTGGTCACATTAAGCTTCGATCATCTGATGATCCAACTGATGTTTTAGATTCGGCTTATGTAAAGAAAGGCAGAAGTAGACCAAGGAAGACTTGGGCTTATTATATTAAAAATGAACTTGATTTATTAGAACTAAATGAAATTATGACACTAAATAGGATGTAGCCGACCCCACGTAGTGGGATTAAGGCTTTTGTTGTTGTTGTTGTTGTTGTATATAGAGAAATAAGAAACTCCAAATGAGACAATTGCCCACCCTGAACATAATCTGGTTCCACCGCTTAATGTAAGTAAATGCCCCTATTATTATTATCATTCAATAACAACAATAACTAATCATATTGCATGGCACCAACTACCAGGCCTCCTTATTAAAACAACAGCAAAAGGTCATTTGTTATCCTTTGAAATCTCGATAACTATATTAGTAATGTAAAGTAAGAAGAATATAATGATTTTGAGATGCAAAATAATAATAATAATAATTTTGGTTCCAGGTTCTTTTCATAGTGGATCAGTTATCAAAAACCCATAAATATGAAATTCTTTTGTTCCATATGGAATTGATATAAAGACATTTTCCGCTCTGAATCATTGGGCTAAAACATGCCTAGAGAATCAGAAGGAGAGGGGGGCATTATCATGCAGTTATCAAAGCCTACATGAAAACCCTACAAACTGTAAAAATTGCAGAGCAAGTTAGCAATGGAGAGTGTGCTGACCGATTTAATTTTGTATTTTTGAAAACTCTGATGCTTTGTGGCTCTATATGTTTTCGCCGGGTGGTAGTTCGGCCAGCTTGGGAGGAGCGCCGAGCACCTTTTCCATGTCGAATCTCACCTCAATATTGCGAATGCTGTAACCAACCACCATCAACCAGAAGAGCAAATTTGCTAGTTCAGGAGCGCTTGTCTCAGTGACCGCTGTCTGGTAAAGAGAACAATCATGCATCTTTGTCAAGCTCAACAAGTGAATAATAAGCTTTTATATATATATGACTGACATGCCAAATTATTCCGTAAACTCTTTTAATATTGGTTGAAATAGTCCCAAAGATAAATATTTTAGCACCCATTAAAACAGTCTGAAGACTAAATTAGCACTTTTATAGACTCTAGGATTTAAATGGATCTTTAAAAAGAGTAAACATATATATATGTATATATATGTATATATCTTTTAATGGAATTTTACATATGTAGCACACAATGTTTATGTATTTATATATCTCACACCTAAAGTTTCGTATTTACATAGCACATTGGTGTTTGAAACCTATGCACGAAAAATGTGGATTTCACTTTCAAAAAGAGATAATATTACTATTTTTTATGTGATATTTAAAATTGAGTGCTATGTGTGTAAATATGGAAGTTTAGTTATGAGACATGCAAATATACAAGAGTGTGTGCTATGTATGTAAATGCCCCTGTATTAAAATAAATATTGCGAAATAAGCAGGGCTTATTTGCATTTTTTTCATTCCAGGTAAAGAATGCACGCTTGTTAGTGATACCTACTACATGCTTATGCCACGAACCGGTATATACAGCAAATGAAAGGCTTACGTTAGTATGGAGCAGGAGTGGAAGATAATAAATGAGTGATTTCCCAAATTCCTAACAAAAGTAAAGATGATTTTCATACACATTCCTTAATTCCTATGCATTTACATATCTAACACCTAAACTTTAATTTTGACATATATATCCTATCTTACTTGTGCATGAAAAGTTATAAACAGTGGTATTTTTTATGTGATATGAAAGATTTGGGTGTTATAAATGTAAAAAGTAAGGATTTAATGTTAGATATGCAATAAATTGGAATTGGGAGGTATGTATGTAAATGCCCCCAATGATTATCAGAATCAAGGTGTCCGGTTGCTTTATGACTGGAACTAGAACGAAAATAAAGAAACGTTAGGTAGTGTAATAGTTGATACAGATGGGGAAAATCATAATAAAGCAATTGTTAATGGCAACAAAATACCCTCTGTATCCATGTCAGACATGAGTTGGACATTTACACATCTCCGACATGCCTCGGCATGTGTTTAACAGTCTTAATTTGTGTCAGAATAACAAGCCTTAATCAAGACTAGAAATTGGCCGAACACGACTTGACACTGGGGAAACACTAGTGGGTTGTTAAAAAAGAACGTTGTTCGTAAATAGCTCGTGTTCAGCCAGCTAAGTGCTCTTATTTGATTCTTTCATTAAGCAAGCAAACATAACACAAACTTTTTTTCTTATATTAATTTATAAACGGGTCGAACAAATACAGTTTATTCGATCATGTTGGGCTCATTTTAGCTCGAAATTATTAATTAAAAAAATAATTATTATAGCATGTTTATATTTACTTGATGAAATTTTTGAAAAAAATATAAAATTTAATTTTTTTAAATTATTCGAGCTAAATTCAAACCAAATACTGGGTGAAATGAACAAATGAATTCAAATCGACAAGAATACGAACACACTATTCATGATCCATTTCGAACACAAGTTGATTTGGAACAAAAGAAAATCGAATGAGCCGAACACGAACAAACACTCGGTCAATCCTGGCTCATTTACACCCCCAGCTACCACTATACAAAAACAAAAGAGAATAAAACTACTGATTGCAGAATCAGACAAATATGATCTGCCATAATCTCATCATTTTCCAACAGATTAAATTCATATGATTGCAATATCAAGTTACTATAAAAGCAAAAAAGAACATCACGTTCTGTTTGTTGATATCATTGAAGCACTCCAAAGGTGAGAAATCCAAATATATTTCTGTAGGCAATTTGTTCTTTAATTCTTCATGACATGCAAAAAACTCACAAAAATTGTGTTCTTAATGTCAGAACAGAATTCTTGAAAAATATGGAACTAACAAAATATTACGAAGTTTTACATACATACCACTCAATTTCTATGTATTTACAAATCTGACACTTTAAACTTCAATTTTTACATACATCCAACCTTGCCTATACAAAAGATGATACATTTTGCGTTTTAATAGTTGAAATGGTGGTATTTTTTTATTTGATATGAAAGATTTGGGTGGTATACACGTACAAAATTAAAGTTTAGGTGTTAAATATGTAAATACATGGGAAGTTGATGTTATGTATATAAATGCCCTTAGATATTAATGAGTTCCAATATGTTAACATAATATGCAGCCAGACACAAACACCAAATTATAACAAGATCATACAAGAGCAAGAATAGAAGCTAATCATAATGTGCTCAAGACATACCTTCATTTTCGCAGGATCTGAAACAGACAGCAGGCGCGTTATGAAGGTATTCATGGCAAAAACTACGTCTTCGCCAGCACTACTTGTTAGTTCCTACACCAAAAAAATTGAGAATGTGACATTTATGGACAGTTATACCTCCAACTATGAATGAATATATGTGGAAGACATGGAATGACTGAAAGCAGAAAGATTTCTTAGCATGAAATTTAAGAGTAAAAATATATAACTGGCAAAGAAATATAGCAAATAGAAAATAAGTCAAAAGAATATAATTCATCCAATGAAATAAATATCACAGCAAAGCATAAGAAAAATGACAACATTCTTTGCAATGCATACAAGAATCAACAA